GAAGAGGGGCGAGGGCCGCCCACCTCCGCATGGAAGCGCTCAGGGCCCTGCCGAGGTGCTAGTTCAAATTAGCGCTGTAGTGTAGACGTACCCTGGCAGAGGCCCCAGCAGGCTTTCCTGCAAGGACTACGAGCATCTTCCAGCAGTGCTGAGTCCCACTCCGGGACCGCGCTGGGGCTCAAGAGTAGGAAACGCCCAGTGTCCTGCTAGGCTCAAGGCCACGATTCCAGAGGGGACACATTTCGAGCCCATGGTCAGACCCATTTCCCACTGTCACTCGCTTGATCCTGGGCACCATCAAGCAGGGTGGAGCATTGGGGGGTCTAGCTGGGCATGAGACAAAGGCAAGACCTGCCACCCAGCCTTCGGGAGGGGAGGGGTGTTACTCTGTACCCACAGAAACGATGAGGAGTCACAGATTGATCTGGGCATAAGCCTTTGTGGGCAAAGACCCATTCTGAGCCCACAAAAGCTTGTGCCCAAAATCAGTGTTAGTCTCTAAGGGTACGTCTACACTAGCTTGTTAGTTCGAACTGGGTAGGCAAATGAGGGCAACTGGAGTTGCAAATGAAGCCCGGGATTTAAATATCCCAGGCTTCCTTTGCATGTTCCCGGGCGCCGCCGTTCCTCGTGGAATGAGGAGTAACAGTTAATTCGAACTAAGGAGTTAGTTTGAATTAACGTTTAACTGCCGTTCTAGCTGCGGGCAGTTAGTTCGGACTAAGGGGCATTTAAAAATGGCGGCGCCCGGGAACATGCAAATGAAGCCCGGGCTATTTAAATCCCAGGCTTCACTTGCAACTCCGGTTGCCCTCATTTGCCTACCTAGCTCGAATTAACGCGCTAGTGTAGACGTACCCTAAGAGTCTCCACCCAGCCGTGCAGCCTTCCACCTAACAACGTGCCCTCCAGACGGATGGCAAACCTAGAAGGCTCGTGCTCGGAGGAGGGACAAGCCACCCTTAGCTGTACTGCAGAAAAGACTCTGAGAGAAATATGCTGCCCAGCAAAATGGAAAAGGTTTCCTGGCTGGAGCTGGCATCTCTCTTTAGACGTACAGAGCCCAGCATCCCTCAGGAAATCACCCAACCCGCTTGTCTCCTTGGCCAAAGGCGCGGAGGGGAAGCTAGCTCTCAAATGGAGCTCTCTCTCCAGGCTGCATCCTGGTTGCTTATGAGTTCACAGTGACCCCTCACCCTGAGGTGTGAGGGTCCACTCGACCCCGGTAGCCTCTCTCCCAGATGCCCTTCTCACGATTTGCAGAGGCAAGGTAGGGCTCTTTGCAAGCTTGTGCAGCGGACACATCCTTCCACGGCGCTGACCTCCAGTCTGTCATTCAGCCAAGGTCCTCAGCCCCATCCTCAGTGACCACGCTTGTGAGTGACCTCGGCCTCAAATCCTCCTGGGGACCATCACTGGAAGAAGAGAGTGAAGTGACTTACCTTTTCCAGTAACCGGAGTTCTTTACGGTGTGTGGTCCCCAGAGGTACTCCCCCTGCTTCCCTCTGCTGCTGATCCTTCCTGGAAGTAGCGGGAGAGGCGGACGGTCTGCACTGCTTTGGAGATCCAGCCCGACGGGAGGGCATCAGTGCGGACGCTGTTGGCGGAAGTCTGAGTCTCAGGTGCATGGAGCACTGCGCACCGCAAGTGGGATGCACACAGGGAGCGCGCCTCTGGAAGAATCCCAGGTACTGCACCTTTCTCCGGACATCTCCAGGAAAGGAGTGGATGAGAAGTAGAATCGCAGGCCGGGAGCCAATGGACCAGATAGGCTCGTGCATGGCCGTTCCAGTGTTCCCTGTAAGCTGGGCGCTTGTGCGGCCGCTCAGGAGACATTCCAGTGCCTCTCAGCTGATGAGCCGAGCGCCCACAGCCTGCTTTGTGCTTCTCCTGGTGGTGCACATTCACACGTGCCTTGGTGGACATAAAAATTCATTCAATAGGGGCAAGTTCGGAGCCCTACATCCGGAACTCACAGGGGCCCTTTTCAAAGAGCCCAGCTATCCTGGGATGCGCGGTGAAACGGCAGGGCAGTGGCAATCGATGTTCCCGCTAATCTTTTCCATCCATGTGTGGGGTTTTTCCACCCATGTGCAGAATAAATATTGATGTGCACTGAGGCACGTGCGAATGTGAACCACCAGCAGAAATAAAACAGCCGTGGGCGCTCTGCTAGTCAGCTGGGCAGCACCTGGAACTCTCCTGAGTGGCTGGGCCCATTGGAACGGCCATGCAGGCCCCAGACGTATGAGAGTGGGAACCATATGGCAGAGGGGCATGGAAGCGCCCCCTGAAATGAACACAAAGCCTGCACGGGCTCCTTCTGGCCTGGGCCAAGTCAGTGCCTGTGGGGCCCCAGGGATACTCTGAAGAGAACCGGCAGGCCTGCGGGCTCCCAGCAAATCCCCCAAGGGCCGGACCCACACGAGGAGAGGCCTCATGGGATGGAAATCTCTGATTCTTCCCCCAGTGACACGAGCTTAGGCCAGGGGGCAGGTGGCTTTGCTCCGGCCCTCTCCTCAGAGCAGCTGCGAGCTGAGAGGAACCTGGCCAGGAGCGAGTTGGACGGGGAGAATGTGTCCTGCGTGGAGGTGGGGTCAGGCCGGGGCGGGGCCAGGTGGGCAGCCCCAGCCCCCGAGCCGGAGGGCAAGAGGATGGAAGGAAGCAGCGGGGGCAGGGAGGCAGCGAGTTCAGCGCCCTCAGTGGCCCTGCACCAGCAATGGGGCAGCTGCTGTTTCTCTAAGGCCACGTGTTCCGGATGCTTTGCACCTGCAGCCGAATGGGCTCATGCAGATTACCCTTCGCTTGGGGTGCGTCCCAGCCAATACAGCAAGGGGAAGGGGGAGACCAGGTAGCCTCTGCAGCTCACACTCAGCGGATGGGTCTTGCCCGAGATGGAGGAGCTAGGGAAGGCCCAGTGTTATTAGGGCTACAGGGAGGCACCCTGGCCCAGCCTTCCTGCTGCCTGTTGCTAGCAGATTGGCACTAGGGTGGGCAGCCCCAGCCCCCGAGCCGGAGGGCAAGAGGATGGAAGGAAGCAGCGGGGGCAGGGAGGCAGCGAGTTCAGCGCCCTCAGTGGCCCTCTAGGGCCCTGGCTGGCGGGGCTGGCTTTGATGTGCCTGCAGCAAGAGGGGAGCCAGGACACCGCCAGGCGACAGAACGCCCTGCCTCGGCAGCCAGCATGAGATGTGCAGCCATTTGCTGTAAAAAGCTGCATAACGCTCATTTGCATAATGTTATTAATTAGACATTGTTCTCCCCCCCATTGGCCCAGCTGCAAAGTGCTAGCTCCGGGCTCCCTCGCCTCGCGGCCCTTCCCCGCAGCTCGGCTGGAAAACAAAGCAAGAAGAGTTCACCTGGGACAAAACTCCACATGCTGCTCGCACCTGCCTTTGCTGGCTGCGTCCATGAGTTAGCTAATTGCTGATGGCCCCTGCCCCCCTGCCGATTCCTCTGGTTTTTATTGTCTTTAGCACTAGGCAGAGATACAAGCGCTGATCTGATTGGCTAAGGCCCTTCTCCAGGTCTCCTCACTGTGATACTGGAGCATCTCCCACTCCTTAGCTGCACCCCTCAGCCTGGCGAGCCACCCCATGCGGCTGGGAAGTGAGCCATGGCGCGGCAAAGTGACTTGCCCCAGGTTCCACCAGCAGCCTGTGGCAGAGCTAGGGAATGAACACAGGGTTCCCCAGTCCCAGGCTACTCCCCTACCCGCTAGACCATCTTTCCGTAGCTGGGACAAAGGGCTGGGTGAAATCGGTGCAAATCTTTTTCACAGAAATTAATGGGGGAATTTCTGACCTTTGGCTCCTCTGACTTCGCACCCACCTGCACATGCTGGGGGACTGAGCCTCACCAAACCCTTCTGCATGGAAGGCGTCCTGGCAAATGTTGGCCCGTTGCCACAGAAGGAACGGCTGCCTAGGGGCCTCCTGGCCCAATGGTGAGAGCAGGGCCGACTTTAGGAAGTGCGGGGCCCAATTCGAACAGTTTTGACGGGACTCCGGCAGCCAGGATTTTTTGTTAACCAAAAAAAAAAAAACCCAGTACAAAAAATGAGTCTTAACCCCTTTAAATCCCCAGCTACAGAGCAGAGTCCCGCCTTCACACCAAACCCCGGGGCTGACTCCCCCCTCCCACGGCGCAAGGAAACTGACGTGCTCCTCCTCCCGCAGCGCACCCGACGCCCTCTCCCGTAGCGCACCCGGCGTGCCAGCACACTTCCGACTTTAGGGCACAGGACCTCTTAGGCGCGGGGCCCAGTTTGGGGGAATCGGCCTAAAGCCGGCCCTGGGTGAGAGCTCAGAGCTCATGTGACATCGTGCCCTCGCCCTGAGTCAGCCCACTGCGCTCTTGGAGGTGAGCCGTGGAGCCTGTGGCTGTATTTAAAACCCACGTCCCTTTCCCAACCATCCCAGCTGCACTGTGACACGAGCCATGCCCGGCCCGTAGACAAGTCACTGGAAGCCACTTCCCAATAGGGAATTCGTTCCAACTTCCCTTCCCTCCCCGCAGGCCTGGCCCGTAGCCGGCCAGTGCTTGGAATCCATGTGCCTCCCCCGTGGGACACAGGTCACGCTCAGCTGGGAGCAGCTCATGCTATACCCTGGGGCTGTGTCTCGACTGGCATGATTTTCCGGAAATGCTTTTAACGGAAAAGTTTTCCGTTAAAAGCATTTTCGGAAAAGTGCGTCTAGATTGGCAGGATGCTTTTCCACAAAACACTTTTTGCGGAAAACAGTCCTGTGCTGTCTACACTGGCCCTTTTGGGCAAAAGTCTTTCAGAAAAAGACTTTTGCCCAAACGGGAGCAGCATAGCATTTCCGGAAAACGCACGATCTTACATGAGATCGTCAGTGCTTTTCTGGAAATTCAAGCGGCCAGTGTAGACAGCTGGCAAGTTTTTCCGCAAAAACTTGCCAGTCTAGACACAGCCTGGCTGCCGAGGAGGCCTTGGTGGAGAGCGACGTGGAGATTCTGTCTGCGTGTCCCCTGTGCGTTCCTGCCCAGCCAGGAGACAGAGGCTCTTCCCGGGGCCCAGAAAAGCCCAGAGAAAGACCCAGCGGATGTGTTCCCCTCTGCCTTGCCTGAGCACACGGTAAACTGGGCTGTTTTCTTTCCCCAGGTGACATTGGCGGTCAGATGGGATTGTTCATTGGTGCTAGTATCCTTACAATACTAGAGCTCTTTGATTATATTTACGAGGTAAGATCTCCCCTTGCGGATCCCACATTGCACTGCTAAGGAGCGTAGTGCTGTGTGACGGGGTGCGTCGGCAGCCGGAGGCCTAGCTGAGCGGCAGGGTGACCCTACTGCATTGCTGCCCAGCTTGTGAGACTCTCTCCTGTTCGAGGAGCTAACTGCTCCCACCGGAGCCCCGCCCGCCCCCTCCAGCCCCCGTCCGTTCTGAAGCAGCCAGAGCAGCCGTCCTGTGCCGAGCCGGGCGGGTGGGCCATTCTGCAGCTCTGAGCCAGGCATGGCTGGGCCGGGCTGGAGTCATCCCCGGGGCAGCCCTCTCAGCACCCCCGTGGTTCTGCCACAGCCCTGCAGTGGGGGGAGCTCCCTGGGGCCTAGGAACACAGACCAGATGAGAGCCAGCGTCCTGTCCCCGCAGTGGTTCCTACCCGCGGCTTCCACGGAAGGGGCTCACTCCACAGCTAGTGCGAAGGGTGAATCACCGAGCCCCGGTGGAATTCCCTTCCTGGCCCCACTTCAGCTCCCCCCATGAAGCAGGGGGGCGAGGTCCCTTGTGTGCTTGACACCGCGTCAGTGCTGACTGTCAGCCCCAAGAGGAAAGTGCAGCATCACAGCCCTTTGGTACCTGCCCCCTCCCTGCTTCCTGGGGCCCCAGCAGCTGGGCCGGCGGGGTTGGTCTGGGCTCAGCTGGCTGTTCAGCTCCAGCTCTGGGGGTGCAGGCCCAGCGCAGCCAAATGAGTCTGAAGCTGTGAACGTGCCAGGAATAGTTCCTCCCACACTCCCTGCCCCATCATGGGCTGAGCCGGCCCCGGGCCCTCCCCAGGGTCCTACCTCTCTTGGACCTCCAGCCTCGTCCCCCAGGGCTTGCTCCCTGCACAGCACCTCTCCCGTCCCTGGTGTGCGCTGGAGGGGAGCTAGTGAAACAGCTTTCCCAGCGCCTGCCGGGCGGCTCGGGAAGGGCAAGAGGCCACGCTCCGCTGGGAGCAGCACCGGCAATATCCTGTCACTGTCCGGCAGCTGCCGAGGAGGCCTTGGGAGAGAGCGACGTGGCCCTAGTCCCTACCCAAGATCCCCGCTTGCCTCTCGTCCCTCCCTCGCCCTGCGTCCTGGTGAAGGTTGCGCCGGATCAACAGCACCAGAGCCCCAGTCCAACGTCACTCTCCCCATTTGGCTGCTGGGAAGCGGAGTCACCGAGAGGGAATGTGATTTCTCCAAGCAGCAGGTCCTGGAGCAGAGTGGGTCCCCGTGGGGTGCTCTCTGAGGCAGTGCGCACGTCACGGCCCCCCAGGCAGGCAGCCATCTTGTACCACAGCCAAGGGGGGGTCTGTGACGGTCACCCAGGCCTGGCAGTCAGGACTCTGGGTTCTGTTCACAGCGGTGGGCAAGTCAGCGGTGGCTCAGTCAGACAGAGGGAGCCTCGCCCGTGGTGCAGAGCCTCCTTCCCATGGCAGCCCCGGCCCTGCTCTGCACCCCACGGCCCGGCAGATGCCCCGGGATGGGGACGGGAGTGCGGGAAGGGTCACTGTTCTCCAGCTCTCACGAGCATGCTGGTCTCCAGGGCTGTCCGCCCAGCACTCAGAACAAATAAAGCAAGAGGTGGAGGGGGTCACAGCGACCCCAGGGAGGAATCTTGGCGGGTTTCTTTCATGAAAAGAAATAAACAAAAGCAGAATCTGCCGAGCCATGAACTATGCCGGATGCATCCACAGCATCCAAAACCCGGGGCTGGGTCAGCGCGGAGCAGCGCTCTGCCGTCAGGGGAATATGTTTCATGGCCCTGCTGCAGTGTGCCCCCCCTTTTAATATCGCTGCTCTCGGCTGAGTCAGCCAGGCAGAACAAGACAGCCCGTCGCTTTTTTCACGGGAAGAGCAATTTGTGCTGGAAATGAGCGAAGTGGAGACATTTCCACACCCTGGGGTGGGAGGCTGAGGTTTGATATTTCATCCCCCGGCGCCCTGATGGACCCACATGTAACATCCTCCATCTAGCGCCCAAGTGTGTAAAATACAGAACACCGGGTGCATTGGTTCAGCGAGAGGTTGGGGTGCTGGGTCTCAGCTGGGCCCCCCACCAGGGCCTGAGAGGTGTCCAGGGAAGGTGCTGACATGCCAGCGGCTCCATCACCAGGGTGATGAGCATAGGACCCTGCCACCCTGCACAGCTGGCACTTCGCCCTCTTAGCAGCAAGCTCAGAAGCCAGATGGGCCATGGAGACTGAACATCCATTCAGCGCCGGGACTGTGGTGCAGGAAGCCAGCCCAGGCTGTGCTAGACAGTTGGGCCTTGCATCCATTGAGCACCCTGCAAAGGGCCGTTGGGCCTCAGGGCATGTGGGGCGGGTGTCGAAGTGCTCACCTTGCAATCTGAGAGCCAGGCTGCCATGGAATTGCTACACTCAGCACAGCCCCGCACAGCCCCGCAAGCAAAGGGCACGAGGTCTCAGGAGCTGGTCAAAATGCACAGATCTGAGCCCACCAGGAGTACCAGGTCTGCACCCAAAGGCAGAGCGAGTCTCGGTGGGTTTTAAAGGCGCCTGGTGCTTTCTGAGCTGTGCTTTACCCTCTACTGGAGACTGGAGACAGGCCCAGAGAGGCTTAATGACTTATGTGAGGTCACACACGAGATCTATGTCAGTCACAGGACTGGCAGGGGCCTTGCGAGGCCAGCTAGTCCCATCCCCTGCCCTCATGGCAGGCCCAAGCACCAGCTGGAACATCCCTGCGAAGTGTCTGTCCAACCTGTTCTTACATATCTCCAGTGATGGAGATTCTACAACCTCCCCAGGCAACTTATTCCAGGGCTTAACCATCCTGACAGGAAGTTTTTCCTAATGTTTAACCTAAACCTCCCTTGCTGCAATTTAAGCCCATTGCTTCTTGCCCTATCAACAGAGGCAAAGGGAGAAAATGTTTCTCCCTCCTTGTTATTATGTGCCCTCTCACTCTTCTCTTTTCCAGAGTAAACAACCCCAATTTTTTTTTCAATCTTCCCTCACAGGTCATGTTTTCTAGGCCTTTAATCATTGTTGTTGCTCTTCTCTGGACCTTCTCCAATTTCTCCACATCTTTCCTGAAATGGGGAGCCCAGGACTGAGAACAGAACTCCAGTTGAGGCCTAATCAGCACAGAGTAAAGCAGAAGAATTAATTCTTCTGTCTTGCTTTTGATACTCCTGCTACTACATCCCAGAATGATTTTTGCATTTGTCCAGTTGATTCTCATCCTATGCACCTCAGACCATTTCTCCAGTTTGTCCAGATCATTTTGAATTATTACTTTACCCTCTGAGGCATGTGTGACCTGCCCAGGCATCCTGGTGTCCCCCTACATAGCCCTACTCATAGGCCACTCAGCCTTGCCGCTCCTGGCCCTGCTCTGACCTGACCGTGTAACCAGCTCACCCTTTGGCCATGTCACCCTATCCTATGCACCTCAGACCATTTCTCCAGTTTGTCCAGATCATTTTGAATTATTACTTTACCCTCTGAGGCATGTGTGACCTGCCCAGGCATCCTGGTGTCCCCCTACATAGCCCTACTCATAGGCCACTCAGCCTTGCCGCTCCTGGCCCTGCTCTGACCTGACCGTGTAACCAGCTCACCCTTTGGCCATGTCACCCTGTGCTCCTGTCCTACATGAGGTGGACCTGCTGTCCATCCTTGGACTGAGGAGCACCTTAACCTGAAACAACCCAGAGGACTGTATCACATCACAAATCCGTTTCAATGCACGCTGCTGCTAAAACCGCCATTAAAAAAATGGAAATCCAGGTTTCTGATTGCAAACAATGCCCAGCTTTCATGGGCATGTGCAAAGTTATGCCAGTTAAATGCTGCGACATATGTTGATTCATTTATTAAACAAAAAGCTGTTCCGATATTTTAGCAACATGTAGAAAATGCTTTAGTGAAAGAATTTTGACCATTTTAGTAAAATAGTTTTGAGCATGTGCAAATATTTTAGTGAAATGGTTCCTTCTGAACATAGGCCTTTTTAAAACATCCTGGATGTTTTAGTCAGACGCAGTTGGATGGTTAAGTGGCATTTTCAAAAGCTCCTATATAATAAGACCAAGTACTTAGATCGTGCTTTTGAGCAGAAGATCTCATAGAATCATAGAATCATAGGACTGGAAGGGACCTCGAGAGGTCATCGAGTCCAGCCCCCCGCCCTCAAGGCAGGACCAAGCTCCGTCTACACCATCCCTGACAGATGTCTATCTAACCTGTTCTTAAATATCTCCAGAGAGGGAGATTGCACCACCTCCCTTGGCAATTTATTCCAATATTTGACCACCCTGACAGTTAGGAATTTTTTCCTAATGTCCAATCTAAACCTCCCTTGCTGTACTTTAAGCCCATTACTCCTTGTCCTGTCCTCAGAAACCAAGAGGAACAAATTTTCTCCTTCCTCCTTGTGACACCCTTTTAGATATTTGAAAACCGCTATCATGTCCCCCCTTAATCTTCTTTTTTCCAAACTAAACAAGCCCAGTTCATGAAGCCTGGCTTCATAGGTCATGTTCTCTAAACCTTTAATCATTCTTGTCGCTCTTCTCTGTACCCTTTCCAATTTCTCCACATCTTTCTTGAAATGTGGCGCCCAGAACTGGACACAGTACTCCAGCTGAGACCTAACTAGTGCAGAGTAGAGCGGCAGAATGCCTTCACGAGTTTTGCTTACAACACACCTGTTGATACAACCTAGAATCATATTTGCTTTTTTTGCAACAGCATCACACTGTTGACTCATATTCAACTCGTGGTCCACTATGACCCCTAGATCCCTTCCCGCCATGCTCCTTCCTAGACAGTCGCTTCCCATCTTGTATGTATGGAACTAATTGTTCCTTCCTACGTGGAGCACTTTGCATTTCTCTTTATTAAACTTCATCCTATTTACCTTTGACCATTTCTCTAACTTGCTAAGGTCATTTTGAATTATGTCCCTATCCTCCAAAGTAGTTGCAACCCCACCCAGTTTGGTATCATCTGCAAACTTAATAAGCGTACTTTCTATCCCAATATCTACATCATTGATGAAGATATTGAACAGTATGGGTCCCAAAACAGGCCGTTGAGGAACTCCACTTGTTATCCCTTTCCAGCAGGATTTAGCACCGTTAACAACAACTCTCTCAAAGCACTTTACAGTGTTATTTGATACATGGGGAAACTAAAGCACAAAGAAAGGTGAATTGCTCAAGGTCACCCAGGACTGCAGTGGCAGAGTTGGGAATAGGACCTAAATGTTCTGAATTCCAGCTCTGCTGCTTCCGCTATGTGTGACCTTTCCTGGCTTTGCTGTATATGGGTTATTAATTTCCAATCAGTCCTTGGCCCCTGACTCAGGCACTTTTAATTGGGTTATTAATTTCCAATCAGTCCTTGGCCCCCGACTCACTTAGGCACTTTTAAGCAAGCCCACTTTAAGGCCTGGTCTAAAAAGTTTGGTGGGCCCAAGTACATTGCTGGGGGGTATGAAAAATCCACATCTCTGCAATGTAGTAAAGCTGACCTAAGCGCCGGTGTAGACAGCATTACTTGATGAAAGAATTCTTCCATCAGCCTAGCTCCTGCCTGTTGGGGATTGGCTTACACACGCCAGGAACCTTGTGACGCCCTCCCCTCGGCATAAAGTGTCTACCCTGAAGTGCTACAGCTGCTGCGCTCCAGGTGTTGACAAGCCTTACTTGCTATTAAAGACGTGGTGATGCGTTTGGCAGGCCGTTCTCCTTACAGAGACCCTCCTGAGCAGTCATCAATATTTGGTGGCATTATCTCGCAATAAAATATAATGAAAAATATAAGCATAAAACTCATATGGGCTTTGGCGTTCAAACAGACTCTGCTTCCTACTTCATATCTCAATCTTTGTGCACACAGAATTTGATTAAAACCCAACAAGCCAGTCTCTCTTCTGGATACTTTGATAGGAAGATAATAAGAATTCTCTCAAATAAAATTTTGTGGGTTTTTTCCATTCATTGAAGCTGAAGAATATTTTTCTTCTGCCAAGTTTGTTTTCCTTTGGCAAACATTGATTTCTCGGTGTAATGAATGGAAATGGCACAGCTGCAGCTTCACTTTATTCTGTAAGACCTCTGCACAGTCCCCCCTCACATCCCAGGAGAGTTATATGCAGAGGTCATCTGGAAAACTCCTGTTAGAGACGAGTGACCTTCATTGACAAAGGCCTTGTTTACACCAGGGAAATTGTCCTGCAGAGCTCTTCCACAATAACCATTCGGGAATAGCTATTCTGGTATAACTTTGCTATCCTGAAATATCTCCCAGGTCTGAACACTCTATCCCAGGATAAAAATGAGAGCGTGCAGGTAGATGCTCTGGAAGAACTATTATCCGCTTCCCTGTAAAGAAAAGTCCCCATATTCTGGGGTTAGGATCCTTTGCAACACAAGAACCAGGGGTCACCAACTAAATGAATAGGCAGCAGGTTTAAAACAAATGTAAGTGCATTCTTCACACAATGCAACCTCTGGAACTCCTTGCCAGGGGATGTTGTCAAGGCCCAAACTATAGCTGGGTTCCAAAAAGATTAGAGAAGTTCATGGAGGACAGGTCCAAGGTGGTCTGGGATTCAGCCCTGTGCTCTGGGCATCCCTAAACCTCTGACTCCCAGAAGCTGGTGTTGTACTTAAAAGAAGTACTCGGGATCTTTTTCAGAGGGATAAGGCAACATGCTACATTTATTGATCACACATAGAATAATCAATACTTATATGCATAGGACATTTTCACGGACATTTCTGTTTCAACCAAACAGCTGTCTGCCGTGAGAAAAGGGTCACCTGTTCCCAGGGGCGGATGAGGGTTTTGCAGGGCTCAGGGCAACACGGTTTCGCCCCCTTTGACACGGCGCATGCGCCATGGCGCAACAGTTCCCAGGGGCGGATGAGGGTTTTGCAGGGCTCAGGGCAACACGGTTTCGTCGCCCCCGACACGGCGCATGCGCCATGGCGCAACAGTACATGTGCGGGGCCCCTGGAAGCGCAGGGCCCGGGGCAGCCGCCCTGCCCTATATCCGCTGCTGCCTGTTCCCCACACTTCCCTTCTGCCAAGGGGAGGAGCCCTCCAAATACTGGGTTCTCTGAGCAGACAGCCTTTTACTCTGCATTGCCTCTACTGGCTTCTCGGGGGGAGGGGTCCGAGGCAGGAAAATGTGCTGGCCTGGCCCCTCCCAAGCCACAGAGCCCCAGTGCTGCTGAAGGAGCCTGTCCAGTTGCGAATGGTGCTGCAGGATAACCCCTCCTATGGCCAGAGAGCCTGGTCCTTGACAAAGACTTTTCTCATTCATTCATTCACGTGGGGTGCTCCCCAGCCTGTCAGTTTGTGCTCCTGAGCAGCGGCGTGTCATTCCTGGCTGGCTGGGCGCCTGGCACTGTCCGTTCTGTTTGAGCACCGGGTGAGGGGAGAGCTCCAGAGAAGAGGCACCTCTCACGCAGCCCTTCTGCTCAGCACGACCTGTGCAGCCTCTAGGTATCAGGCACGTGCTGCATGTACAGCCCGCACTTGGCATCCCACCCCCAGGAAGCCCCTGGCTCATGAGGGCAGCAGGGGCATTTCTCCCCCTGTGACTTTGGGCACTCAGCCCTGTGGTCCACAAGCCAGATTGGGATTGTTGGATGAATGTTCCAGTGCCGCTCCCAGCCCTAGAAACAGCTCCACTGCAGCTCCCAATTCTGCTGCCAGCCTGGGGCCCCAGGAGCTGCACTGGAGGGAGACAGGCCCCTCCACATTCCCATGGGGGTGCTAAGCTCCTACCAAGCCCCGTAGGGAGCAGGGATGATCTCAGAGGAGCCTTGGAGAGTGAGCTACAGAGGGGCTGCCTGTTCGGGGAGGGGAGCTTTGATGGCTGTTCCTGCCTAAGGTAACCCAGTCTGCCTCTCTTTCAGCTGATCAAGGAGAGATTGCTAGACCTGCTGGGCAAGGAGGAGGAGGAGGGGAGCCATGATGAAAACGTGGTAAGGATCCTCACAGAAACGTCACTGAGGGTTTCCATGATACCTGGGCGGCAGCCCCTTACTGGACTTGTTATTAAGGGAAATCCTGTAGTGAGGGAGGCAGCACTGTTATCCAGCAGGTTGGGGGAATGGGGTTATGGACAAGGATCTTAACTGGTTAATGCGTTACAAAGGCAATTTCCCCTCTCTTGGTATCCGCATTTCCACATCAACTGCTGAGAATGAGCCACTTCCACCCTGCTTTGACGAGCCTCATTTGTACACGAACCCTCTTCCTTTTGTTGTCCTTCTATATACCCCTGTCTCTGTAGCCTCCATTCCAATTCATCTGATGAAGTGGGTTTCACCTATGAAAGTTTATGCCCTAGTAAATCTCTTAGGCCAGGTCTATACTAGACCTAGACGGTTGGCTTAAGGTTTGCAACTCCAGCTATGTAAATAGCAGCTGGAGTCAATGTACATTAAACCAAGTTTGGCACCATCTCCACAGTAGGCGGTCAATGGGAGAAAACGCTCTCATTGACTTCCCTTGCTCCTGGTGAATCGAGGAGTGCCAGAACCAACCAGGGATGCCTTCAGTGTTTGATTTAGCAGGTCCTTACTAGGCTTGCTAAATCAAATGCCAGAAGATCGATTTCCAATGCAATAAGTATAGATGTGGCCTTGGTCTCTAAGATGCCACAGGACTCCTTGTTGTTTTTGCAGATGCAGACTAACATGGCCACCCCTGAGACTTTTCACTGTAGAAGTAGAGGGTGTAGGAGATTGGGCTGTATCTATAATGATCCTATAACATAGGATGGAAGCTGCTTTTTGGAATGAATTCTAGATATCAGCTTGCTTCTCTTCTGCCTTGTTTGTGCAGAAGTAGAGTGCAGAACGTGCAATTGCATCTCCCCCTGGGCAGTGGATTTGTGTCGGGAGATATCAGAACTGTCAGTTAATGGAGCTTGCTGGTTGGTAAAGTGCCAGGTAACACAGCTTTTCCTGTACCCAATGGCTTTAAAAATCATGGGGTTTTTTTGGGGGGGTGTCTTTTTAATTGCTTTCTGCCTTTTGAAAGGGTTCCCATTTTCCCACTTCTCACTTAAAAAAAAAAGAATGAAAGTTGAGATCCCAAGCCAGGGATTTTAGGAAAAACACCAAATTTTGCAAGACTCATGGTAAAATATCCAGAGTTTTCAAGAGTGAATGTGTAGAAACGGCGGACAAGGTAGACAGACTGTGTTTGGGTAAGGTAGATGAGAGTAAAGAAAAACTGCACATTCTTTTCTAAAGCCTCCATTCAGATCAAGGGCAGAGTCTCAAAAGTGCTTTACCAACAGGGCCCTTTGAAAACAAGATTTTTTTCTCAAAATGTCAAACTTATTTCTGTGTCACAAGGTTTGAAATTGACCCATTTTTTCTATTTCTTTCATTAGTTTTTCAATACTGTTAACTGGCATTTTCCTCAACACGTTATTGTCATTTTTTATTACAAAGTCACTGGAAGTTTGGTTTTCCCCAAAACATTGTCTTGCTGGAAATTTAGTGCTCCACTGCACTGTGCACAAGGGCTGTCTCCACCGCACTGTACACAAGGGCTGTCTTCACTGCACTGCGCACATGGGCTGTCTCCACCGCACTGTATACAAGGGCTGTCTCCACCGCACTGTACACAAGGGCTGTCTTCACTGCACTGCGCACATGGGCTGTCTCCACCGCACTGTATACAAGGGCTGTCTCCACCGCACTGTACACAAGGGCTGTCTTCACTGCACTGCGCACATGGGCTGTCTCCACCGCACTGTATACAAGGGCTGTCTCCACCGCACTGTACACAAGGGCTGTCTTCACTGCACTGCGCACATGGGCTGTCTCCACCGCACTGTATACAAGGGCTGTCTCCACCGCACTGTACACAAGGGCTGTCTTCACTGCACTGCGCACATGGGCTGTCTCCACCGCACTGTATACAAGGGCTGTCTCCACCGCACTGTACACAAGGGCTGTCTTCACTGCACTGCGCACATGGGCTGTCTCCACCGCACTGTATACAAGGGCTGTCTCCACCGCACTGTACACAAGGGCTGTCTTCACTGCACTGCGCACATGGGCTGTCTCCACCGCACTGTATACAAGGGCTGTCTCCACCGCACTGTACACAAGGGCTGTCTTCACTGCACTGCGCACATGGGCTGTCTCCACCGCACTGTATACAAGGGCTGTCTCCACCGCACTGTACACAAGGGCTGTCTTCACTGCACTGCGCACATGGGCTGTCTCCACCGCACTGTATACAAGGGCTGTCTCCACCGCACTGTACACAAGGGCTGTCTTCACTGCACTGCGCACATGGGCTGTCTCCACCGCACTGTATACAAGGGCTGTCTCCACCGCACTGTACACAAGGGCTGTCTTCACTGCACTGCGCACATGGGCTGTCTCCACCGCACTGTATACAAGGGCTGTCTCCACCGCACTGTACACAAGGGCTGTCTTCACTGCACTGCGCACATGGGCTGTCTCCACCGCACTGTATACAAGGGCTGTCTCCACCGCACTGTACACAAGGGCTGTCTTCACTGCACTGCGCACATGGGCTGTCTCCACCGCACTGTATACAAGGGCTGTCTCCACCGCACTGTACACAAGGGCTGTCTTCACTGCACTGCGCACATGGGCTGTCTCCACCGCACTGTATACAAGGGCTGTCTCCACCGCACTGTACACAAGGGCTGTCTTCACTGCACTGCGCACATGGGCTGTCTCCACCGCACTGTATACAAGGGCTGTCTCCACCGCACTGTACACAAGGGCTGTCTTCACTGCACTGCGCACATGGGCTGTCTCCACCGCACTGTATACAAGGGCTGTCTCCACCGCACTGTACACAAGGGCTGTCTTCACTGCACTGCGCACATGGGCTGTCTCCACCGCACTGTATACAAGGGCTGTCTCCACCGCACTGTACACAAGGGCTGTCTTCACTGCACTGCGCACATGGGCTGTCTCCACCGCACTGTATACAAGGGCTGTCTCCACCGCACTGTACACAAGGGCTGTCTCCCCCGCACTGTACACAAGGGCTGTCTCCACCGCACGGGTCTGGAGCCACTGAGTCTGCAAGCCTGTTTTTCAGAGCGGTGCAGACACACCCTGAGCTCTAGCCTGCATGCTCCGATGCGCTCGTGGGGCAGCCTGCATGCCCTGAGCTGTGCCCATCCCAGCTGTGGGAGCCGAGGCTTCCCCTAAGCTGCGCTGACGTGAGTCAGGCTCAGAGAGCTGCACAAGGCTGTTCTGAGCCACCTGTCAGCAGCACAGCTGGCAGCCCCGCCACAGCCCTGCATGCACGAAGAGCCAGCGCTCCTGGCAGCGCCTTGCAGCTGGGAGCCCAAGCGAGAGGTGTCCAAAGACCAGAGAGTATTGCTACCTGCAGCCCCTGCTTAGCCAGGCCAGCGTCTCGCTGCTGCCCTCCAGGCCGGCCAGGGTATGCCCACCTACCATGCCGATGGGGGCGGGTGGAGCCCAGAGGGCAAGGAGGGCCTGGAACACAGAGGTGTCCAATAGGAAGAGCCATTGCTCAGCTGCAGGTGAGAGGGAGACACGTATCCTTGCAGCAGGGCTCTCGCCCTGTGGGGTGCGGCTCTCCCAGCCCATCAGTAGCAGCATGGGGCAGCGCGAGGGCTCAGCAGCGCTCCCTAGTGGTAACCGTCTTCTCTCCTCCCCAGAGCACGTGTGACCCCATGCCCAATCATTCCGAAACCATCAGCCACACTGTGAACGTGCCCCTGCAGACAACCCTGGGAACGCTGGAGGAAATCGCCTGCTGACACCTCTCCGACAGCTCCATAGTGCCAAGACCTACCGGAAGGAGACTGCACAGGAAAGCAGGGACCAAGCTCAGGTTTGCCCCAGGGGACAAGGAAGAAAATCGCTATGCATTACCAATACTCTATATAGAGAACTGTGTCTATATTATACATCTCTGCCAAAACCAAGCGAGAGGCACCTTGGACTTGACTTGCGTCGTCCTTTCCTGTGGGGGGGGTCGTCTTCGGGATCTGAAGACACACTCGTTTTTGAACTGTACAGACCAACACAACCCAGCAGACCACCCTGTCACGTACTGCCGACTGTATAAAGCACTTGCATGCCGATACTTTTTATGGCGCTATATCCTCGCTGTCTTTATAAGCTCTGTTCCTCTGTACAGGCTCTGATTTTCACTACCACAAAGGGATTTTGCAGGCTCATCCGTCCCTGAACTCACCATTATCTAGACTGCATTAGAATAAAGAAACAAACATGCAACTCTGGGACTCTCCTTTCCTCCTTGTCCTGTTTGCTAGGCCTGGTCCCCAGAGGCTAAGCCATGCCGAGGGGGCCAGCCCTGGGGGAGCGACCGTTGGCTAACGGGGAACGGGACGCGCAGTCTGACTTCCTGCCCCGAGGGACGCGCCCTGGCTACTGTGTCGTGCTACTCGGTCTGTCCCGCGGCTCATGCAGCCTGGGGCGGGGGCGGCAGGAGGGAGCGCTGGGTTATTTTGCATTGGTCTGCGTTGTGCTTTTTCCTCGCTCTCATGACTGATATTAAAGCTGGTCTTGTGGCAATGGCCAGACTGTGTCCTACCTGCCTTGCTTCCTGACCCAGTCACCAGGGTCCCCTGCTCCACTGGCTGGTGGGTGCAGGCTCCCAGGCAGCCGACCCCGCTGCCCTTCCCCCGGTGGGTAGAGAAAATGGGCAGCTAGACTCTTCCTCCATGGGCAAGGCCCATCCCTTGGCAGTCAGCCTCTTTCTGCTCCATCAAACAGGCGGGCCTCCACCCTGTCCCCTGCCTGCATCACCTCCAGGGCTCCTGCCTCCCCAGTGCTGGGTCAGAGACCCCTTCCTTCCGGCCATGGTGCTGCTCCCCCGCCCTGGCTCGCCCATCGCATCCCAAGGGCAGCAGCAGCACTGGGCTGCAAGGGACCAGAGCTCCCCTGGGTTGGTTCTATTCCCTGCCCCTAAGCCACACACCCCTTCCTGCCAAACCCGGGGCCCCGCCCTGCCCCAGCCTGTCAAGGAGAATAGCTTGGAGTCTCTGACATCAACCCCCTCCCCGCTAGTCAGCTGCTCCAGTGGCCCCCCAAGCCAGGCCTGCCTCTCTGGGGGGAGCTGGAAGCTGCCCCCTGCTGTGGGCTGTGGGGCCGACCCTCCCGTGCCCCTTCCCAGAACACGGCCCAAACCCGCCCTGCCCTGGAACAGACCTGACCTGCCAGCAGCAAATCACGTACCGGATCCTGCCTGCCTGGCCCTCCAGCTCCCCCCGCCCCAGCGGCAGCCCTGTGGGGCAGCCACATGGCACGGACGCCAGCCAGAATCACTCGCACGGGCTGCTTCCCTGCTGGGGTGGCTCAGCTCGTCATCTGTGGGTCGGCACCAATGTCCACCTAGTGGGATCTGGCCATGGCATCCCTGGTTCAGTCGGCGCTGCCCTGGGAGTGCAGTGGCGGGGGGGGGGGGGGGGGAGGGATTTGAAAAACAAATGAGGAAAGTTGGTAAATACCAAAAATGAAGAGCCTTGTGCATATCTCAGGTTACAAACATTTCATCCAATAGGAGCAGGGCTGGAGTAAGGAAGGGGCCCCAGAGGCTGCACCCAGGGCCCCAGGCAATGGGGGCCCCACCAAGAGATGTCCTGGCTGCCGAAAGTCCAGAGCTTTTGGCAAAGCCCCCTCAGCCCTGGGCTTAGGTTGCAGCTCCTACAGATGCTGAGCATCACCCGGCCCCTCCCCCGGTGGGAGCCAGATCACCTCAAGCACCAGGGAACGCGTCGTCCTCACGCTGCCCTCGATCAATGGGGGCAGAGCCTGCAGGTGAGCTCAGGCAATGTGGGCTGTGCTCACCGTAACTCCCTCCCACACCCGAACCCCGAGCCCCCTCCCACACCGTAACTCCCTCCCACACCCGAACCCCGAGCCCCCTCCCACACCGGAACTCCCTCCCACACCCGAACCCCGAGCCCCCTCCCACACCGTAACTCCCTCCCACACCCGAACCCCGAGCCCCCTCCCACACCGTAACTCCCTCCCACACCCGAACCCCGAGCCCCCTCCCACACCGGAACTCCCTCCCACACCCGAACCCCGAGCCCCCTCCCACACCGTAACTCCCTCCCACACCCGAACCCCGAGCCCCCTCCCACACCGTAACTCCCTCCCACACCCGAACCCCGAGCCCCCTCCCACACCGTAACTCCCTCCCACACCCGAACCCCGAGCCCCCTCCCACACCGGAACTCCCTCCCACACCCGAACCCCGAGCCCCCTCCCACACCGTAACTCCCTCCCACACCCGAACCCCGAGCCCCCTCCTGCACCGTAACTCCCTCCCACACCGTAACTCCCTCCCACACCCACACCCCGAGACCCCTCCCACACCATAACTCCCTCCCACACCCGAACCCTGAGCCCCCTCCCACACCATAACTCCCTCCCACACCCCACACCCGAACCCCCTCCCACACCGTAATTCCATCCCACACCCGAACCCTGAGCCCTCTCCCTCACCCTAACTCCCTCCCACACCCCACACCCGAACCCCCTCCCACACCGTAATTCCATCCCACACCCGAACCCTGAGCCCCCTCCCACACCATAACTCCCTCCCACACCCGAACCCCGAGCCCCCTCCCACACCGGAACTCCCTCCCACACCCGAACCCCGAGCCCCCTCCCACACCGGAACTCCCTCCCACACCCGAACCCCGAGCCCCCTCCCACACCCTAACTCCCTCCCAGATGACACATCCAAACCCTGAGCCCCGTTTTACACTCTAATTCCTCCCAGACCCCACACCTGAGCCTCTCCCCACACCCAAACTCCCTAATTCCCCCCCAGGGCTCAGGCTCCAGGTTGGGGTGTGGGATCTGGGCCACATCGTAGCCCCCAGCCCTGTGCCTGCTCCAGCACCCACCCAGACTCTGCACCCCCACCCCTCGAGCTCTAACCTGCTCTTGCGTCCACTCTCCTACATCAACCCATAGCCCCCTCCCACCCTCTGAATCCCTCATTCTTGGCCCCACCCCAGATCCTAGGGGCCCCACGAATCTAGTCGCTCCTGGACCCAGAAGAGTTGATCCAGTGTCACTTCCTGCCTCCCTGCATGTCCAATGCCTCTGGCTTGTAGGGATGCAGAGATGTCGCTCGCACCCCCCAGCAGCCGAGACGGTGCCTCCTGGAATACCCCACGCCAGGAGCCATTCTCTGGGCCAGAGCCGGTGTTTTCTGTATCACGGCCCTGCTGCTCTCATAGATGCCTACGTCCCCCTCTGCTTGGCCATCTCTGCTTTTGTATGTCAGTGATGTGTCCTTCCCCCCGTCCCCCCGGAGTCTTGTGTGTTAGTGACCGTGTGTTCGAAGGGAACCGTGTACCTTGTCCAAACGATCCCGTGTGCTGCAGCTTTGCACCAATAAACGGAACTGAGACACGTGAGTTTCCCAGAGCTCGGAGTCTGGCTGTTGGTATTAGCGGGGCACGCGGGATTGCGACGGAGCATGTGCAGTGGGGTTGTCTATTTATTAGCACTGACAGCAGGGGCAGTGCGGGGAAGCGTCTGGACCCCGGGGCCGATGCTGCATTATGTCACCTTGTATCATCACCTCGCAACGTGCTGCCCCTCCCCTATTTATTAGCACTGACAGCAGGGGCAACGTGCTGCCCTCCTCTGAGAAGATACTTCCACAGTCCAATCCCATTGTGGCTTAGCCCCTCGGAGACGCTCGGCTGACTTGTCCTGGCTCACCCAGGAAGTCTGTGGCAGAGAAGGGGAATTGAACCCAACCGCAACACAACACACAGGCATTCGGAGAAGCGGAAGGACCTTGCACTGATCAGGGTGCTACCTAGGATGCAAGAGACCAGGGCTACGTCTAGACTGCAAGCCTCTTTCGAAAGAGTGCGTCTAGACTGCACGCGGAATTTCAAAAAAGCAAGCCGCTTTTTCGAAAGAAAGCACCCAGTGAGTCTGGATGCTCTCTTTCTAAAAAGCCTGTTTGCTGTCAAGAACGCCTTCTTTCGAAAGAGCACTTTCGAAAGAAGGCGTTCTTCCTCGTGGAATTAGGTTTACCGCCGTCGAAAGAAAAGCCGCGTTTTTTCGATTTAATTTCGAAAGAACGCGGCTGCAGTCTAGACGCAGGTGAAGTTTTTTCGAAAAAAGGCTACTTTTTTCGAAAAAACCCCTGAGTCTGGACACAGCCCAGGTCCCAGACACCCAGCGCGAGCTTTGCCAAGTCCATGGCAGACTTAGTCCAAGCGGCAAATTCTGGAGGTCGCTTGCTGCATCTTTGGGGTTTTTTAATACAACAGATGACAATTTCCTAACTCAGAAAGTGCTGCATCCAACCCAGAGCAATTCTCTATTAGAGCTCGTCGTGGCAGGAAAAGAAATTCACAGAATGAAAAATTAATGGTGCTCAGGTGCAGGTGATTGTAACTTGATCACATTTGTAATGTGCAAATGAAATTAATCATATATACACATCTATAACACACAGTGCTTTTGAAGTGTCAGTTTCATAAAGCTGAAAACAATTATGAGCTAAATTAGCTAGGAGGCAAATTTAAATAGAAAAATATGAATGATAACTTGGGAATTGTTTAAGAACATTTAGTAGATACCCAAAAGCCACGATTACACAATTGAGAAACAAGTCCACACTGGCTAAAAATAATGATAACTTGGGAATTGTTTAAGAACATTTAGTAGATACCCAAAAGCCACGATTACACAATTGAGAAACAAGTCCACACTGGCTGAAAATAATGACACGCTTAGGCCGTGTCCAGACTCAGGGGTTTTTTCGGGAAAAGTAGCCTTTTCCCGAAAAAACTTCCCCTGCGTCCAGACTCAAGCCGCGTTCTTTCGAAATTATTTCGAAAGAACGCGGCTTTTCTTTCGATGGCGGTAAACCTCAATTTACGAGGAAGAACGCAAGAGAGCATCCAGACTTGCTGGGTGCTCTCTTTCGAAAAAGCGGATTTCTCTTTCAAAAGATCCGCCTGCAGTCTAGACGCGATCTTTTGAAAGAGGCTCTTTCGAAAGATGGTTTCGAAAGAGCCTCTTTCGAAAGAAGCATGCAGTCTAGACATAGCCTTAGAGGGAAAGTGAGGACAGCTAAAAAAAACGAAAGAATTTTCCCTATCCCCAATATATAATAAATGGAAGAAAGGGAAAATTAATTGTAATGAATATATATCAGAAGCTAAGAATTGTAGAACATTAATATGGGAAACAAAAAGAGGAATCTATGGCCGGTAGCGTTAAAGACAGTAAGGAGGGTTTTTTTTAAGTATACTATGAACAAAATGAATGCTAACAAAGGTGTCTTAATAGATAGAAATGATATAATTGCCAACAATAATGCAGCAAAGACAGAAGTCATCAATTAATATTTCTGTTCTGCATTTGGAGAAAAAAAACAGATGGTGTAGTTGTATCATTTGAAGAGGAAACTTTCCATTCCACTAGTATCTGTGGAGAATGTTAAATAGCTGTTACAAAAATTATATGTTT